TCCTGCTCTTCATTATATTTATATTGTTGGAGGTAAAAATATAGCTTGCTCTTTTTATAGTCCTTGGTTAATGTCAGATAGATGATCCGAATAAGACACCAAGTATCGAAAAATAAAAACTGTTGTCCATGGTAGAACCGTTGTTCAAAGTCGAAATCATTCAGCTGATACGGATTAGGCAACTGTCGCTTTTGATTCAATTTTAATGTCAAATAGTCAAATATCCGGTCTATCTCGTTCATTGAAAATAATCTCCAATCGTGTCCTTTTAATTTCCTGATCAACCCCTTATCCTGTACCCATATCTCTGCTATATCCTGTATATCCATATGCTCATCATTAACAACAGTAATAATAATTGCTTCCTCTCTGATCAAATTCTCTTGGTGTAAGAGTAACATCAGTCTTTCTCTGCTCTTGTCTTGTACTTCCTTTATGAAATAAATAATCACTTTTGCATGTTTTAGAGTGGATATACTGTTTTCTATATCTGGATAATCCCATAATTCAAACTTGTATGAATCAAATAGGATCGTTTCTACATTGTATTCTTCTGTTGGTATCACTTCAAATTCAGTATCAGGTTCATTCGTGTTGTATTTAAAGTAGGATTTATACAAAAATGTCGTTTTCCCTGTTCCTCTTGCTCCCATGACAACCGTTGTTATCTTTTCTATCCAATGTGAACAAAATCAATAATTTATATATCAGCAAAATGACAGGACTTACCTTGTTCAACTCTTTCACTCGTGCTTGTTTTGTTATGATTACCAAGCAGAGTCGAGATTCGCTTCATTTTGAACAAGAAAAAAAAAAGTTTATTTGGTATGACAAAATAAAAGAATTCAGGTCATTTATTTATTTAGGCTCCTTTGGTCACTTGCATCAAAAATCGAATACGAGCACAAATTTCATCTATCATTTTTATGTTAGCTTTTTTTTTCCTTTCTTTTTTTTTAAGGAAATAACTTACAAGCTTCCTTTGAGCTTTCTGCTTCAAGGTCATACGTCTTGTAATCCCTTTCTTTAAGTACTATAATCTTGAAATTTGATGGAACTTTTTTACTCTGTTTACAACTTCTTATAGCGCTCGCATGAAACGATGTCTAAAAGCATGTATTAGTTTTATAAATACATCTTTTTTTCTTTTTCTTTTGTCATTTACCGTCTTGACAGAATCAAACATGCCTTTGTGTTCAGGTGGCATTAAATGAATATAATCTCCGTCAATTGCTAATATATACACTTTTTTACTAACAAACATGGGCATCTTTCTGCTCACAGAATATTTCTGCTAATACTGTTTAATAACTATGTTGTATAATAATGAAAATAAAGAAAATATTACCTTGTACTGTGAAAATATTCCATCATTTGCATTTGCCGCGGTTGGTCTTTGATTTACATCTGAAAAATACATTGGATGGGTAACTTCATCCTTTTTACGTTTAATAGGTGATCGCCATAGATGATTAGCTGCATAAAATGTGTAAATAGGATGAATGTATCTAATTAAATACAACTTACTGCTTGGTATTGTCAGTGTTCTCTCTTTCTTGACAAGTGTCAGATCTGTAATTTCCTTCATACTTTCCACTGTCGTATCATTTGGCACAATCACATTTGTATCTGCGATCGTCAACATATATCCATTTGCATCCAGTTTTCGCTTTCTGCACACTAACTCGAGCACATCGCCAATGAACATTTCTGCATAAACCGGTATGGCTGTCGTAGCCGAGACTTCCTCGTTTGTCATCAGTTTGATTCGGAAGTACTTTAATGGCGTCATTGGCATCGTAGCCTTGGTCAATGTTGCTTTGGATGATGGCACAGGAACAGCTACAGTAGATGGATCAGGTTCCTGTGCGGCTATACGATGATGCATGAGTTGATGGGTTGGTATATCTTCTTGTTGGGTTGAAGTGGGTATCGTTGTCGATTCAGGCAGAACAGCTTGTTGCTTTTTCTGGCGCAAGGCTTCAATGTCTGGCTTTGTCTTGCCCATTTTGGCCCGCGTGATGTCGTTTTGTTTGACTTTAAAGTCTCAGTAAAAGCAGTCATTATCATGTGTATGTTATTACCTTGTGATGGTGTTGCTCTACATAAAGCAAATTGATCAAATGAGACACGGTCGATACGCCTTGTTCTGTCCACCGCTAAGTAAATCAATTGAGGTCAGATCGGATTTATTATTACTATTATTACTATTACTTACCTGGTAAATCTTCTTCTATCTCTCCATCGTCCTCAGCAATCAACAAGACCCACTCGGACAGATCATAGCTCTCGACCTCTAATTCAGGACCACGCTTTTGTTCTACATAGTCATATAATATATATCCAATCACATCATCAATCAATGCATCTGGCTTTACGATCAACTTTACAGGCTCATAGGGTTTAAACGAGCATGGTATATACACACAAAGATTGATCGGTTTAGCTTCTCCCTTGCCCGACGCAAATGCGTATTCTGCAAACGGATTCTCTGCTGCTGTTGCCTTTTCAGCAATGAGCGCAGATAACGCCGATTTCTGTTGTTGTTGAATTGGTGAGACCTTTTTGGTATATGACAGTGGGTGTTCGGTTGCAACGACTTGTGTGATCTTTTTCTCGGGCTGGTCCTCTGGAGACTCATGGCTGCTTGTCGGAAAGGGAAACATGCTCACGTTGGCTTCTTCGATTGAGGAACGTGGAGAAGGGTCAATGGCCGACTCCACAGAGGGATGAAGTGAAGTTTCTTCTTGATTTGGATGTGTAGCATTGAATAGTCCTACAGGTGGTTGTTGCTGTTCTTCTATTTTACTTTTTTATAGCTATCAGTATGTCTTGTTTATATTTGTTTATGATGCTTACTTTTCTAGTTCTTGTCTTTCTTCCTCATCCATGTCTTCTTCTTCCTCATCACTGTCAGTTTCCTTCTTCGTCAACGGTCGAATAGGTACATATTGCTTTCTATGTCGATAACTTCGTTTTGTTGTACGTGGGCTTGTCGTCAGTTTGCTTTCGGTCATAGGAGGAGAATAACAGTACTGCATCTCAGGATAGAGAGGTGCTGCTAGTCTCACATAGTCATCTGACATGACAGTAGGTGGGAAGCTAATGATGCGTTCTCCTCGTTCATCTACTCGCAAGAATTTTATTCGACTAATATGAATCAAGTATAAAGGATCTGTAATCAGTGACATTTTTATTTTTTATTTTTTATGCTGTTTAGAAAAATATATTAAAAAAAGAAGGAGGGGAGATTAATAGGAAAATTACATAATGATTTAACCCTTTTTTTTTCTCTTTTATTTTTAATTATATCATGCAACGATTCATTAAACCACCACCACAGCAACTAAAGATGACTCTTGTTCAGCGACGCATGTATTCAAATCGACCATTAATTCAACTTTTGATGCGTATGACACCTACTCAACGGCGTATCGCTTTATTTGGTACAGGTATTGCTGCGACCCTTGTGCTAGGCCCATTTCTGCTGGTAGGTCTTGGTGGAATAGCAGCAGTAGGCGCTTTTCAATTCTGGAAGCTCAAGAGACAACTCAATCAAGCAGCAATACAGCAACAACCCCTGTCAGTCTGGTCAGACCTCTTTGCAAACTATTACAATGTTCCTTTGTCAAGAAACAGCGTATTGCAGGAAGAAGCTCTGAAAAGAGTCGAAGATTGGGCACAGACCGATCATGGTCGATCGACTCTGATGGATCATGGTATCCGACCTGACGATTTGACCAGTCGTGCTTATTTACGAGGTACCTCATCCACATCCATCATGGTCCAAGGTATTACACAACAGCGGATAAAACTCGAATTTGATTTACGCGATTGTATCTTATTGGTTTTTGCTGATCAGGATTCAAGTATTAAGGATGTCCAACTGGTCAATCGAGTAGGACATGCATTGCATATACCACTGACAGTGCAACAACAAAGAACAGGAAGGGTTATTGAAGGTGAATTTCATGATATAAAATAAAGAATTTAATAGTAGAATGGTGATTTTTTATGGGTGCGTGTGGGTGTGTTGTATGTGTCAATGTAGTAAGTAGTAAGTAGTAAGTAGTAGTAGTGGTAGAAATAAAAGTGTTTAAACGCAAAAGTATATTGAGGTTGCGTATAGTAGTGTACAAATAGTAGTCAATAATAATAGTAATAGTAAATGGACACCTGCCATTCGTTGTCTTCTTTTTTGTTCTTTACTCTTTAGTATCATCAAGTCGAATTACCATAACACTCAAGTTATCTGTACTAAAATTAGCCAATGCATGATCTAGTAATTTTTGGCTTGCGACTTGAGGGTCTTGTATATCTTTGATGAGGTCAACTGCATCTTGATCTTCACAAACATCCCAAAGCTATTAAACATATAAGTACACATTATAAGAAGATTTGTATTCAACTCACTCCGTCGCATGCTAAAATTAGAAACTCGTCGCTGGGTCCTAGTTCTGTCTCGGTCGTAAAGGGATTTCCAACAACAAATTCCTTCATGACACTGTCGCCTAATGATCGTGTTACGGCTAATACTCCATTCACACGGTTGTTCATCATAAATCCTCCCAAGTCCATGATGCGTTTTGCTTCTTGAGAATCAGATCCCTTATGATCATAAGACAGTCGAACTGCTTTGTTTTGACGACTATAATGAATGAATACATAAAGTAAAGAAGAATAATAGCTCCTTACCACAAGACAGCACGCGCATCACCTACGTTTCCAGTATATAAAATACGCTAATGTAGAGGGTTAGTTGTAAGAATCTTGTAATAAATATATATATCTAACCTTGTTGTTTTCAGCCACTTTCACAAAGGCAACGATAGCCGTACAGCCAGAGAACTTTCCTTCACGTTCATTGACTTGGTTGTCCACTCTTAGAAAAGCTTTATTTAAAATTTCCGGAACTGATTCGTCTGGGTTACTTTCTTCAATTACGTTGGCCAACACCTATTTATGATTATGAATAATTTGTAAACCTCTTTTTTCTTTACCATACTTTATCAAAGTTATTCCCACACCATTCAGCTGTTGCCTTTCCAGCATGTCCGTCAAAAATAGCAAAGAAGCCCTGACGAGGTACACCCATGTAATTGAATACAAAGGTATGAGCATCTTCCATTGTTCTACGACATCGTTTATTGCGATCTTCAGATACTCCTAATAAGAATCCAGGTGCCTTTTTGGCTTGTTTTGTTGAAGTTGTTGTTGCTGTCGTAGAAGATTGCTCCATAATAGAAAAAAGTAAAAAAAAAAAGAAAGGAAGAAAAAAGAAAAAATTTATTGTTAATCAAAAATGTGTCCCCCCTTTCTTTCCTCTTAAACTCCTTTCAAAATAAATAAAGAAAAAGAGAACAAAAAATGTTCTCCTTATTTTATCTTTTGTAGCTTTTTATTAGCAAATTTGAGTTTGGTTTGAGTTCTGTCGACATCAGCATCCAATTCATCCAATAATTGATTTTGTGTATCCAATTCATGTCCAATCGTAATACCCAATTGCTTTTGTCTGGCCAAAATAGAACTAAACTGTTCAATTTGCTGATCTTGTTCTTTCATCAACTGGTCCTGATAGACAACTAACCCTTCATTATCTAATCCCCTTGTCACTTCTGTCTCTTGTAGTTGTTTTTTGTAGGCTGCACCAAACGCTCTTCCCATACCTTTGCGTTCTGGTTTGATTTCATTAAATAGTGCTTTTCGTTCCTGCGTGACAGGCTGCTGCTTTTGTTGTTCAAGTTGCTGATCGGCGCGTGCGGAGGTATTAGCGAGCTGCATGAGAGCATCCTTTTCATCTTTGAGAGATGAGACCATATCTTGTCGTCTTCTCAGTTCGCCCTCTGATAAAATAGCTGATAAGCTATTCAGTCCGGATTCAAGTGTCGATAACTTGGCTGACAAAAAGACGAGGAGCTTCTTGGCTTGTACTGTGCACTGGTGTGATGCTGATATTTCATTACGTGCCATATGGGTATGTTTTCGATTCATCAACGATCTGACTTCTCGTGCCGTGTTGCTCATCGTATGGTATTCATCTAGCCAACTCTCGGATGTGTACATCTCCTTGGTTGATAATGTATTGTTGTTTGGTATAGCTAAAAACTCTCTCCAGATATCTGTCAATCTCCATCGATCGTCTCGGCTGCTCAGAATACCTCGCAAGTAAGCCTCAAGTCCTCGTCGTCGCTCTTCGATCCTTTCTGGATCATTGAAGGTCCGAGGAAAGTAATGTTTGGGCGGTAGTGAAACAGGCCGTGTATGTTTAGGGAATATGGTTTGAAACATGGTGTCTAATTTCTCAAATTCTGAATATCGTTTCCAGACAAACCAATTGCGCACCGCAGCATGTACTTCAATCTTGTAAACTGTATGTGGTTTAGGTTGTTGTCGAGTTTCAGTTTCTCGAATGTAGATGGCTTGAACGACTTCACTCATCAGTGAAGAAAGAAAGAAAGTGAGAGAGAGAAAAAGAAAAAGAAAAAAGGAAAAGGGAAATATTTTTATTTGCGTCACAAATAGAGTCATGCCGCCTTCAACGTCTTTAAGCGGGGATCAATTCGGCTATTATTTATTTGCATTAAGCCAGTTTTTGAGCAACGACAACGTTGACATTATAGTATCCACTTGTTGTTGCCATGCAATGTTCTAGCTCTTTGAGATAATTTTCTTGCTCCGCTTTGTTATTTAAGCCTAAAATGGGTGCTGCTACAGTCATTCCTGTCTTTGAACCTTCTAACCAACACCAAATGAGCTTTTTGGCTAACCGAGTTCCTGTTGCTGAACAAGATGTTTGTAACATTATTATTGTTTTATAAAAGACACTTACTGGTATCATTATATCGAAACTGTGAGTCAATAATCGCTGTATTGCCAACCTCTTTTAATAATCTTTCTAATTCTCCTCCAATACGTGGATTCTGTCCTACTGCCTTACAGATCGTATGCACTATTAAAAAGGAGGAACTATTAATTGTCTATTTATTTCTCCCTTCGTTTTTTCTTTTTACCAGCTGATAAGGACTTGTAAAAGACAGTATCCTTTTGCTCGGGTAGCTAAGGAAAGGTAAAGATGAGGGCTTCTTTTAATGTTACACTTTATAATCTTACTTCAATGTTTGCATCAACTATCTGCACCAATCCTCCTGGCTTGGTTACGCGAAGTAGTTCTTTGATTGCGCCAGGCCATTCATCCTCACGCAGGGCAAAGATCATCAATCTCATGTGAACAAAGTCAAAGGTATTATCTTCATAAGGAAGTGTTTCCAAGATATTTCCAATTTTGAAAGTGAATTGTTTTGGCATCATGTTTGTAGGAATGGCTTGAACTATGTCACAGCCATGATAATCACATTTGGGATAATCAGTGATCATATCCTATACTCTTTAAATCAACTCTTGGCTTTTTTTTCTGCTAATCTCAACTTACCATTATCCAAGCTCCTGAACCACAACCGACGTCGAGAACAGATAAATTCCCTTTGCTGAAATCCAATGATACACTTGGCATAACATTTCTAAGCTACGAATAAGCCTCCAAACAAATACATTTATATATTTACCAAATATTACCCTTCAAGCATTTCTTTAAAAGCAAAATGTTGCTATACAACAGTAAATATTTACCCTGTATTTTAATCTTTTTCGTTCTTACCCCTGTTAACCTCATCTGCTCTTCGTCGTCCTTGGGAAGCCAATAGCTTGATGTCTCAATATCATGAAACTCTCTATCTGAAATAACCGTCATAATATCCTTGCGTGATTAATTCTAAAAGAAATAAAGGAAACGAAAAGAATTTCATGGTTTCTTTCTTTTCACTGTACAACATTTGTACATCATACCAGAGGACGGACAAGGTCTGACAGAACCTTGTGTACTTGGACTTCCAGGAATAGCAATATCAAAGTTGCTCAAAAGTTTGATGGATTGTAAGAACTTCTTTTTCTGAGAAAGAATTGTATGTTTAAAGAGCTAATAAGACACATATTATATTCAAAAGGTGGGAAAAAAAAGGAGGAAGGGTTGTCTTTAAAGTATCAATATGAGACATACTTGCTTAGATTGATCAAATAGTAGCTATTTTCCATCTTGGATGTATCCAAAACAAACTCTTCATTTAAAGACTAAGAAGCATATCACAGTAAGGTGTTGCTACTTTCGTTATCAAGTAATTCTTTTGGATATCTAGGCCTTTATGCAGATTAAACTGTTGCATAAAAGATTCATAACAATATGCAAGCATGGCTTGAAATGAGAGTCATAGCTGTTGTTGTCTGCAGTTTCCCTTGCTCCACCAGCGAGATAAAAGAGCAAGTGCTTTGCATTTTCCAAGATAAAAGAAGCATTGTCTTGGTCATACTCCTCTCTTGACTCATTCTTTCGTCCAAGGGCTACTATCAACAACATATCTCATGGTAGCTCGTTAAACTACTTGTCTTTTTCAGTTTCATATTTTAAAGCCTTTCGCTTGGAACAGTATAGTCTGTGGCCTCCTATTTGACAGCTGATATCATAGTCGTACAGGTGATTCAGTTAGGTTCCTAACCGATACATCTAGACTAGCTTCATCCTCGTATATCTGTCGTTATCTGTAGTCTCAGGCATGTAAAATTCACTCTTGTAGTAATCCATTGTGCGATATCCTTCCCCTGCCATAATTTACACGGAATTACTTTGCACAAAGTACTTTCATATAACGCGCCATGCTTAATTCTTATTGGTCATGATGAACTCACTTAATAGTCCTGTTTTCATATATAAAATGACTTTATTTGTAATAATGAGCTCTCTCTTTTTTCTTATTTATAATAAACACACATCTGTATTTGTTCTTTTTTTATTAGTCTGAACTATTTTTTGCATTCAAACCAACCAGTCTGAATTTGAGAAATGCGCGGATCTTAGAAATTGCCTTCCCGTTCCTTTATTCATGTGACTGAAAGTATATTTTTCTTTTTTTTTTTAAAAAAAAAAAAAAAGCTACTGTAAAAACAGAATGATGTATCTGAATGTAATCAGAAAAACAGTCAAAGATGAAGTGAAGGTATCAGTAAAGAGAGAAAGAGAGTAAACAAACTTGCAACAAACATCAGGCTTCCGACTTTACTGTGATCAATCACCTGCAAGCTCAGAATTTGGCGGAGGGAGTAAAGAGAGTGTGACAAATGATTACTGATAAATATGAAGGATAAAAGCCAGCCCCTTATTTATTCTTCCCCCTTTGTTTTTTTAGCTTTTTTTTTTTTGGGAGGATATAAATAGGAGAGGGTGAGTTTATTGTTTTCTTTTTTAAATTAAAAATTGTAGCAAAATGGGAAATCGTTTAACAAAGACATACAGTATTCCAAGAGAAAATATAGAAAATAAACATATCAGAGAACCATCTTCAACAAGAGTTATGACAGATTTCGAACAAACATCATACACAGAGTCAGCAAGTAGTGAAAGTGCATTTGACACAACTATTCCATCACAAAGAGAATTTCATCAAGTTCAACAGTCAACTTATTGGCTACCTAAAGATGACGAAGAACAACTTAGACTGACAGGAGTAAGATAGATTAAATACAAATATATATAAATTAACCATGTTGTTTAGCAACACTTTGCTTTTAAAGAAACATTTGGAGGGTATTTGAATATTAACAAAAAGTGACAGACAAGGGTCTTTACTCATCTGATATTAGAAATGTGATGCCAAGTGTAACCGAGTTGATTAAATTTGACAACGAAGCTTGTGTTCTGGACGTTGGATGTGGTTCAGGAGCTTGGGTTATGGTACGCTTACTCTTTTTGTTAAAATGCACAATTTGTAACACGACATAGGACATGATCTCCGACTATCCCAATTGTGATTACCACGGCTGCGATATAGTTGATGTAGTCAACACTGACATGATGCCAAAACAATTCACTTTCAAAATTGGAAATATCTTGGAAACACTTCCTTATGAAGATAATACCTTTGACTTTGTTCACATGAGATTGATGATCTTTGCCCTGCGTGAGGATGAATGGCCTGGCGCAATCAAAGAACTACTTCGCGTAACCAAGCCAGGAGGATTGGTGCAGATAGTTGATGCAAACATTGAAGTAAGATTACAAGGATGTATGTATCACAGTTTCTAAGTCACAAATAGATGCCAACCAAACAAGATGACGCCTTCTACAAGAGTGTATACGCAGGCAAGTTTATTTAAAAAGAAAATATGTCATTTTAGTAATCAAACTTTTAAAAAATAGTTCATCAAACCTGTGCACAAAGATCACAAAATCCACGTATCGGAGGAGAAATTGAGAGAATGGTTCGAGAAGCAGGCAATACCAATATTATTGATTCCCAGTTTAGATTTAATGATACCAGTAATACTAAAAAAATATATAGTTATTGGATTATTATTGATCATTATTAAATAGCTACTAAAACAAATTCAGCAAAGAAACTTGCTTGGAGTTGGATAAATGGAGTCAAGAGCACAATCTCTGTCCTAGGCCCCGTGATTGGTCTTGAAAATGAGCACGACCAAAGAGACTTTTTGAGAGAACTCAAGTATTGTATGGAGAATATTAGTGGTTACTTTAATGTAAATGTCGTTGTTGCTCAAAAGACTGCTTAAAAAAATAAAAAATAAAAAAAAAGTAATTAGTAAATGCCACTTTTAAATATATAAAAATGAACACTTTATTCTCTTAACTTTTTATATAGTGTTAAGATTCATACAAGAGTGATAATGAAAGGCAGACAAAAGTAAATACAAGCTGTTTTTTTAAGCTCAATAACAGTCATCACTTTAGATGATTACCTATCCTTTCTTTATTGCTTCAAAGACAACATGTAATACACAAAATGAACTTGATATTTTTGAGAGAAGATAAATGTGATCAACACTTATGAATAACACGTAACTGAAATACTAACATTTCTTTTGCTTCTTGTGGTCTCTCTTTTATTATTTATTGTCTGAAATTATCACTTTTCTATCAGCGTGTGAATCATTTCTGAATAAAGTGTAAAGAAACTATTTATTATACATAATGTACTTGTTTTATGCAGCTGAACGAAGTAGTGCGTTTGCTACAAAAAGTGCTTCTTTGGCTGCATCATCTATAGGACTGTATATATCATTTGACTTTTCCTCAAAAAGAGGGACATGCGTGCTGCTCTCACTGCTAATGCTACTTCTACTACTGGCACTTGCACAACAATCACGACTGCTCATTGATTCATCCAGTTCATAAAGCAGCATATACGGGTTAGAATGCAATACGTCTTCTAGTGTGCATTCATCTACTTTGGTATCTGATATCCTGTACCACACATCCTGTCCATTGTAAATCTCTTTCTTATGCTCGGCACCACATTGATCACACTCGCAACGATCTGTGTATATCCGTCTTTTGTACGCAACAAAATGACCATAGCTGTGACTTCCATAGTGTACAACGATGCTCATGAGCTTATATATTCTTCTATCATGACTTTGATCAGATGGACTTGACATTGATTCTTGTGGTTGCTCGACATTGATATCTGCTCCGTCTGTGGTATAAGGCCCTATGTCCAGGTATTCTGGGAATAATAAGCGACATTGATTCTTGTAAACCATGCCAGTGCTTAGGTATGCTGATCGTGACACGTGTAGACACAGGATTTTGGACGGTTTCGCCAACATAACTTGCTTACTGCTCAAACAACTCATCCTCATACACTCTTCCTTGGATCCTTCTTCATCGTCATCATCTATGCGTCTCATCTTTAACAAGTGTTCCATTCGAGATTTCTTGGCTTGAAGTGGAGCTAAATGTTTTTTTTTGTTGGTCTTTTTTGAATTTTTTTTCAAACGTGCAATTTCTTGTTCAAGCGTTTCTATGGTAGCGATAAAGGAGCATCGACGACAAGAAGCGTCTTGCAGGTATTCTATATCTGTAAATCGAGACAGACATTCTTCTAGTGTGGCTGTATACTGTAGACGTCAAAGTTAAGTAAATGCGCGGTGTGACAGTTAAACGTTAGTACCCACCTTGTTTGGCAAATTCAACTGTATATTATTAAATGAAAAGTGTCGAATGGCACCCTATAAGAACTAGTTTGTCAATCAATTAATACTTTATCTCTCTCCTATTTCTCTTCTTTCACGGCAGAAGAGAAACTTACCGTGTATTTGCACTTTAGACAAGATAATCTATTTGCCAATAGTCCAGTCAATGGATTCTCAAACTCCTTTCTCTTGATGACTGGGTTCACTAGACCCTTGAGCCCGCGACCTAACCATGCATGGGAACTACCACGCTGTCCCTGACTGTCTACAGAGAGCAATTCCTTGAATCCTCCGCCGAACCGTGTGTACTGAACAACACGTTGTGCCTCAGTATCCAATGCACTAGAAATTAATTGAAAGAATTCTTGAGCGTCTTGTTGTTCTCTATTTGTGATGCGCCGGTTTGAAGACAATGCCGTAACAATTTCGGTAGGTCGAAACGAAGTACGGCGATACATAGGCTGACTTAATCGTCGTAGTGTCTTTAAAAGTGAACGGCTAACAGGAAGTGGAAGCCCAGGTGGTGTTGCCATATTGATGGTTTGCAAATAATCATGTAGATAAGTAAGTGAAGAAAATGCCTATTATTTAAAGATGATTCTCGGATTCCCCTCCTTTCAAATTCTTTTGTTATACCTGTAATACAGAATTGATAAAGCAAGAGTTACCAGTGTTAACAAGGCCTGAAACAAGTGCAGAAGGATCGTAAGAAGGAATATGGGAAGCTACACAAATACGTGCAGCGTGGCGAGTGGTGGCTAGCTCGCTTTCTATAATAGATCATGTTGAATATAAAAACGTGTATACTTTAATTAAGCTACCATTCAGTTGCTTTGCTAATTTCTCATAGTACTCCTTGGGTCTTGTATATTGTGTTAGATCAGGAAGTCCAATGAATTGAAAGATGAATGTAAGGAAACGAACAACAAAGTTAAGCGATGATGTATTATAATCCAAATGTTGAAAGACTGGTGATAATATTACATAAATGCCTATAGTTGCAATAACAAACTGTGTAAATGTTGATAACTCATGAAGCACTTTTTGTACATCCTCTAGTTGCATTACAAAGAGTTTTTTTTTAAAAAGAAAAGACAGAGAGAGGGAAAGAGAGAAAATTACAAGTAAAATACACAGGCATTGATTGGCTAATAGATTAGCTCTTCGTGTGACGCATAATGCACCTTTTTGTTTAATGAAGCAAATGGCGTATAAGAGCAATAAGGCTAATTACCAAAGTACAGATGCTTAAATAAAGCACGGGATAGTCTATCAGGTTCTTTGAGATTATATAGGCTTATAGTAAGTTCTATCTCTAAACGTTACAAGATTGTGTTGGTTTATATCTTCTTTATCATATGATATTACTCTTCGTAAATCAGAAAGAGAACTTAGTTCTTGCTGATGACGCGATATCAAATAATTTCTATAGCTGTTAGGTGAAAAAAGTAGACACTCTTCTGTTAGCTGTTGCACATGATTTAACCACAAAAGCAGACAAAGATAATACAATGTAAACGTTACTCAGACACATGACGTTCGCATATTCGCTGTACGTTGGCTTATGCAAGCTTATAAAAAATGGTAAGGATTATAAAAGAAAATATGACAGAACACGCGCGTATCTTGCAAATGCTGATAGTATTTTGAGGGCTTGCTCTCATTTGTGCTATTATATTTACATGGTATGCGTCCAAATGTTTGAAAAGCAGCTTCTTGCTACATATTGCTCAATATTTTTTGTTCTTTGCTTCACAAAAGATGGCCTGGTTTACTATCATACAAAAGCGTGGGGGAAGGTGCGATAAGGGCATTTGTGAGCTTATTTGAGCATATTTTTATAAAAGGTAAGTACCCACTAACAAATTTATACAGAGCCTTGTAAATGGTAGCAAGCATACTCAAACTAAGGGTGTGTTGTTTAGTTGCTCTCAAGATACCTTTGACTTTACTTTCTGCTCTATATGTATGCATGTTTAATGCACTACACTATTTCCAGAAAGAAATGTCGTGCTGGCTTGTCGCTTTTTCGTATAAATTGTATTATAAAATTGCAAAAATGCGACTTTACTTTCTGAAAAGGCTGTGTGTGTATTTATATTTATATTGAAACTTTCCGATCCAGTTTTGAACAAGATGGTCATGACCAAAGTATGCGGGAATCTAACCTTGGCACCATAAACAACACCGTTTCGAAAGCCTTTTAGGACAGACAAGGCTTCATGGAATCGTGGATCGAGTGCAATTTGTTCAAGACGGTTCATTTTTAAGAATAAAGATATAAAAAAAGAAGGAAAAAAGGGGAGGAAAGTGAGACTAAAAAGGTGGGACCAATAAGACTTTCACATGAATATTTAGTTTGCATAACCTTGATCTTGTATATAATTGCCGGTCAGAGCAAAGGGGGCTATTTTGGCTGTAAATTAAATGAAAGAGAGAGAGAGAGAGCAATTCGGCATCTTTTGTCATCTTTAACCCTCTCTTTTTTTCGTTGTTGCTTAAGGAATAGAATACAATCACAAGCTCAATTCTTTTATCTGATTTGATGTTGCACAGCGGGTCGCAGTTAGATGATGACTTCACTTTACAGCATTCACATAAACTGATATGATATACAAAAGAGAAAGTCAAGATTTGCATGTAGATCATTTATTTCTATATTTGTGTGGGGAAACCCACCTTTTTTGGATAGGCGGTCACTGAAAAAGTCCTCTTTTCCTGTTGTTTTTTTATTATTTTCCCTTTCTTTCTCTTCTTGTTTCAATGACGTTGAATAGCGTTCAACATGAAGAATTGATAGAGTCAAGAGAAGAGACGTTGAAAGAGATCAATGAAGTCCTTGCACTCATAAAATCCATATCTGAATATGAAGACAATAAGGATACCACAGAGGAAAGTGAAGATCAAGACGACTGGAGTGACGATGAATGGGAGGTGATAAAGGCATATCTTGAAAATGAACAAGAAGACGAAGAGGAAAGAAAGTTGATGTTGATGTGTATAAATAGTTGATAATAAACATGTATTTTTATTTAATAACGCTTGGTAAAAGTCAGCTTCAGTGACTTGGGCGCACCATTGAATGATACATCACTAACAATATGATCACGATGAATGGAGTCTTCCGGAACACTAATCTCATACTTTTTCACTATTGCAAAACCAAGAAAAAGTGTTAATTTATGCTTTGGTCAACAAGGATAACTTACAGATCATAGCAATGACCAATCGTTGCTCAAACAGAGAGAAATTCATGCCAAGGCATTGGCGGGTTCCATTACTAAAAGGTAACCAAGTCATACCTTCATGCTTTTCATGTTCACCACCAGGAGCAAACCTTTCAGGATCAAATTGGTCCGGATTATGCCATAACCTGGGGTTGTAGTGCAAAGCCTCTATATTGATTGTAACAACAGTGCCCTTGGGAATAAGCGTGTTGGCCAAAATGGTATCTTCTTTAACATCTCGTGAAAATAGCATATCAGCTGGACTATTTATACGCAGATTCTGTTGAGAGCAATTAGATTATTATAAAAAGATGAAAGGTTATGCTATTACTTCTTTTATGACCATATTGAGGTATTGCATATTTTTTAGCTGCTCAACTGTAGGCACTACATCAACCGGCTTATCACCCAGAATACTAAGTACCTCTTTTCTTAGCTTTTGTTGAACATCCTAAGAGATCATATATTAGTGTCATAGAAGAGATGACATAGTCATAGCAGCATACCTTATTCTTTGCAAGATGATAGAAACAGAAGGATAGAGCATGAGCAGTGGTATCATGTCCTAAGGTTAAGGTGAATGTGAGCTGATATATGTATGTATATGACTTGATGCGTACCAGCTAAAAACAAAACTGCAATATTATGCTATTGTTAACATTACATATCAGTGGGCATTGCTCAACAAGGAAAATAGGGGAATCTATACTTACTCTAAGCTCGTCCTCTGATGTCCATGTGTCGCCCTTTTCTTCAGCCTCTAACATAAGCGTCAAAAGATCCTTTTCGTTGTCTGGTACATCTGCATAAGCACCACTCTTGATTTCCTTGCGCTTTTGTTGTGCAATCTCCAAGAATTTTTCACTAAGTTTT